GTTCAAATAAGGCCTCAGACACTTATTAACTGTGTTACCCTGGGTAAGTCACTTAACCTTGTTTGCTTCAGTTTCCTTATGTGTGGCAAACCACTCCAGTATCTTTGTCCCCCCCCCAAAAAATAAACCCATCCCAAATAGTGTCATAAAGAGTTGCACATGACAAAAATAACTGAAAAACAACAGTGAGATGCCACCTTGGGCCTTTTCCCTTCCAATAGTCTTCTCCCTGATGGGTTTGAAAGACAAGCTTCCCCTAGGTGCAGGGGCAAAGGAATGACTAGAGAGAGCCAAGGCTAACAATGAGAAGTTGGGGGTAGGGAAGAAGAAGCTGGGAACACACTGGTGTTGCCCATTGTGAGGGTGGGGGCCAGATAGAAGGGTTAACAAGGCTTCTCTTTACCAACATACTAACATCTATCCTCAACAACTAGTAGACATACATAATGCATGCATCATGATACCTCACACCAGAAGAAAGCACCTCATAAGTCCTACATGGCTGGCTAGAGGTGGGAGATTCTAATGACTTACCATACATTATAATGTGCATTCTTCTGCATCACTGACAGAGCAGGAATTGCATCTATAAGTATATAATAGATGTTTTAGATGTGCTTATTGAAAAAATTATTTGTTTGGACAGATGATATCCTACAAAGCAATGAATAAAATACACTGTGGAAATTGGGGGGAAGGGCTTAGGATAGGGGTTTGAAGGGGCAGGGAAGAGGAGGAGTTGTAGAATGAGTTAACTTCATAGAAATGTTTTCAGTTTAGGTTATAAGCAGTGTGACATTTAAGAAGTTCAAGAGACATGGTTTCTGGGAAATTAATTATTTTGTTAATAATGCTAGCATATTATCAATAAAAGGGTTCAGTGACATTCTTTAATGCCAAAGAGCCCTTATGGAACCCACTCAAAACTTATATGCCCCTGGAAGAGTGGATGTTTCTGAGGGTGGCAATTGACCCTGATTGGTTAATAAGTAATGAAAGAGAATGAATATTATAATGAGAGGTGGACCTATTCTAATGAGGGGCTGGGAAGATATGACTTTGATCATGTCATTTACTTCCAATTCACCCCGAGCCTTGGACAATTTTTAAAAAAAAATATTTATTTTTAGTTTTCAACATTTACTTCCACAAGATTTAGAGTTCCAAATTTTCCCCCCATCTCATCCCTCCCCCCAATGCCAAGATGGCATGCATTCTGTATACCCTTTCCCCTAATCTGCCCTACCTTCTATCTCTCCCCACCTTCTCTTTTCCCCTTCCCCTTCTATTTTCCTGTAGGGCAGGGTAGATTTCTATACCCCTTTTCCTGTATTTCTTTTTCCTTAGTTGCATGTGAAAATGATTTTTTAAACATGTTCTTAAAACTTTGGGTTACAAATTTTCTCCTTTCCTCTTTCCCCACCCATCCTTATTGAAAAGGCAAGCAACTTGATACAGGTTATACCTATGTAGTCACACAAAACACTTCCATAGTAGTCATGTTGTGAAAAACTAAGTATATTTCCCTTCATCCTATCCCACCCTCCATTTATTCTGTTGTCTCTTTTGATCCTGTACCTCTTCAGAAGTGTTTGCTTCTGATTACCCCCTCCTCCAATCTGCCCTCCCCTCTATTATCTCCCTTCTCTCTTGTCCCCTTCCCTCCCATTTTCCTGTAGGGTAAAATAGATTTCCATACCCAACTGAGTGTGTATGATATTCCCTCCTTAAGCCAAATCTTATGAGAATAAAATTCACTCATTCCTTCTCACCTTCCCCCAATTCCCCACCACTGTAAAAGCCTTTTCTTGTCTGTTTCATGTGAGATAATTTATCCCAATCTACCTCTCCCCTTCTCCTTCTTTCAGTATAATCCTCTCTCATCCTTTAATTTTATTCTCCAGATATCACCCTTCATCTTCAACTCACCCTCTGCCCTCTGTCTGTCTGTCTCTCTATCTACATATAATTTTTTCCCTCCAACCACTCTAATACTGAAAAAGGTCTCATGAGTTACAAATATCATCTTTCCATGCAGAATGTAAACAGTTCGACTTTAATAAGTCTCTTCTGATTTCTCTTTCCTGTTTACCTCTTCATGTTTCACTTGAGTCTTGTGTTTGAAAGCCAAATTTTCTATTCAGCTTTGGTCTTTTCATCAAGAATACTTGAAAGTCCCCTATTTCACTGAATGATCATTTTCCCCTTGAAGGATTATACTCAGTTTTGCTGGGTAGGTGATTCTTGGCTGTAATCCTATCTCCTTTGATCTCCGGAATATTATATTCCAAGCCCTGTGGTCCCTCAATGAAGAAGCTGCTAAATCTTGTGTTATCCTGATTGTGTTTCCACCATACTTGAATTGTTTCTTTCTGGCTGCTTGCAATATTTTCTCCTTGACCTGGAACGTCTGGAATTTGGTTATAATGTTCTTAGGAGTTTTCCTTGGGGGATCTCTTTCAGGAGGTGATCAGTGGATTCTTTCCATTTCTATTTTACCCTCTGGTTCTAAGGTATCAGGGCAAGTTTTCCTTGATAATTTCTTGAAAGATAATGTCTAGGCTCTTTTTTTGATCATGGCTTTCAGATAGTGCAATAATTTTTAAATGATCTCTCCTGGATCTATTTTCCAGGTCAGTTGTTTTTCCAATGAGATATTTCACATTGTTTTCTATTTTTTCATTCTTTTGGATTTGTTTTACAGTGTCTTGATTTCTCATAAAGTCACTAGCTTCCAATTGCTCCATTCTAATTTTTAAGAAAGTATTTTCTTCAGTAAGCTTTTGGACTTACTTTTCCATTTGGCCAATTTTGCTTTTTAGTGCATTCTTCTCCTCATTGGCTATTTGGACCTCTTTTGCCATTTGCGTTAGGCTATTTTTTAAGATGTTATTTTCTTCAGTATTTCTTTGGGTCTCTTTTAACAGGCTGTTGACTTGTTTTTCATGATTTTCTTGCATCACTCTCATTTCTTTCCCAGTTTTTCCTCTACTTCTCTTACTTGTTTCTCAAACTCCTTTTTGAGCTCTTCCATGGCCTGAGACTGATTCATAGTTTTCTTGGAGGCTTTGGATATAGAAGCTTTGACTGTGTTTCTTCTTCTGGTTGTATGTTTTGATCTTCTTTGTTACCAAAGAAAGATTCTATGGTCTGACTTTTTTGGACCCTTTTTAAATTCATGATCCCAGCTAATTACTTGAGTTTTAAACTCTTTGTTAAGGTACAGGTCTGCTTACAATGTGGAGAATGTACTGTCCCAACCTTTGGGGGTTTTGTGCAGCTGTTTTCAGAGATACTTCTAGGGACCTGTAAATTTTCAGTTCTTCCAAGGTGGTATGAAAAGGGGTGAGGTGTTTACTCCTTTCCTGGCCTGTGCTGTGGTCTATAAGTGACCACATGCACTCTTTTCTGCCTTGGAACTGTGAGGATTCCCTCTCCACCAAGGCACAAGCTCCACCATGCCAGCCCTACTCCTCACTCCAGCACCGCCACCCAGAACTGTGACCCAGATCCAAGCACAAGCAAAGCAAGAGAATCCTACACCAGCAGAGAGATACCTGCAATCCCCCTCTGATCAGCCACTAGATTCCCCCTCAGACTGTGGGCTGGAAGCTCCAGAAGCCCTGCCACCCCAGGGCTGAGCTTGGGACTGGGGCTGGGACCACGCTTCTCTCTCTCGAAGCAGTCACAGACATTTCCCACTGACCTTCTGAGTTGTCTTTGGTGTTAGTGGGTTGAGAAGTCTGGAAATTGCCACAGCTGCTCATGATTCAGTCCTCTGAGGCCTACTCCAGGTTCACTGAGGCCTGCCTTGCCTGTGCGCCCACGCTGAACTGGGCAACTCTCTACCCTTGGCACAATATTCCTTTCTGATCAAAAGTCCAGGCTGTATTGGTCTGTAAATTTGTTTCACTCTTTCCTTTTGTGGGTTCTGCCTCTTTAGAATTTGTTTAGAGCCATTTTTTATAAGTATTTGGAGGAGTTTGGGGGAGAGCTCAAGCAAGTCAGTGCTTTTACTCCACCATCTTGGCTCCGTCCCCTTAGGCAATTTAATGAGAGAATTTATCCGCATCCAAACCTGAGTAGAGCACAATGAGCTGGAATTCACCTAGGTAAGATGGTCTAGGTGGGGTAAATTTTGGGCAGAGGTCGTAATGTCCTTCAAAGACTGAGCTTTGAATAAGGAAATAGGACAAGGAAAAATGCTAGATCTCCCCCATAGCTGGTTATTAATAATAATTTCTCTCACTAGCTAGGTCAGGAGTACAATGTGGAAGTAAAGACATTAATTATGATGCAGATATGTTCATGGATTGATTCCTGAATCAAGGGAGACTCTTATGGAGGATAGCAGAAGGGATTGAAAAGAACTAGGAACCTGGTATCATAATCTTCTGTCCAGCTGAGAGTGAACATAAGATCTCCATGTCTGGAGGAGTAGAGGAGAAGACTAGCTTACCAGAGTGGTAATTCGACAGAGAAGGTGCTTCTCTGAAGAGGTGTGTTCTCAGTAGTTCAGAGAACATGCCTGGACTCTTCATAAAGCATCTTTGCTTATACAGAAGTTTTCTGAACAGTTGAGAAGGCTGATCATTTTATTAGTGAAGGGTAGGAAAACAAATGAAGTCATATTGTGGGTAAAGGACTGGAAGAAAAAGGGGAGATCAGGAGATTAGAGAATCAGATATAGATAAAGGCAGGTTTAGGAGTGAGGATATAGGAAAAGAAGAAGGATGAAAGAGGGAGATTTCAGAATTAAAGGTCCTGAAGGAGAAGCACTTTTGATAGAGGCAAAAATTTCACCCTAGTGGGAAAGTTCAGGATAGTGGAGAGGTGTTCACCACATGAGAGGTGATGAAGAGGAAACCCTCAACGTTGTCCTCTCAGGATAGAGTGTTGGAGGGCAGGTGAATTCTAAAACTATTTCAAGTATCGCAGGAAATTGATTCCACTCCACTCCAATTCAATAAACATTTATTAAGAAACTATTTGTAGCCGAAGATCTTAAAGTGACATCTGAGGGACACCAATCTCAGCTTCATCATATCCCAGGTCCTCAGAAGACATTGGTGGGTCATCTTCTCCCAGCCTGGACTCAGAGGATCCCCCAAAGAACTCAGGAGACTGACCTAGAACAAGTAAAGTAGAGCTGAATTTGTAGCTGTGGCTAAAGAAAAGCAAGGAGCCTTTGGTGGTAGTACAGGTGGGTGAAAAGAAGGCCACCTTCAAGGCCTGGGTACAGAATCCTTTCTCAGTCTAGATGCACCATTGACAAGAAAGGGAGCATGAATGGCCAGGACTGAGAGAGGGCTATGGAAGGGCTTCTTTTGACATTGAGGGTGGTTTGGAGTCAAAGGGAATGGGAGAATGGAGAAGGCAGCTTCAGAACCCCAGGACTTGCTCATTTAGTTGCTTAATCACATCACTGAGGGTACAGTTGTCCCAGGTATATTCTTGAAAAAATGTCAATACATAGAATTCTCTATGTACTGACAAAATCTCTTCACCTTATGTATGTATGTATGTATATACAAACATATGTAGACCCACGTCTATACACTTGAATACATGTAAGCACATATGTATAGGCACATATGCATATACTCATAAATTTGGTAGTCGAACACATCTGTATATAGACATGTTTGTGTTTTCACATAAGGGTATGTGTAGGCAGTGCCACCCCCTCATCTTCCAAAATAAGTTCACTTGTAGCTGGAAATCTCACTGATCAGGTCAATAAGTCTGTTGGGAGCCACCCATCTGTGTGTGATGCTGTGTACTCATCCCACTCATTGGTAGATTCCAAAGTACTCCCTTCATTCATCTGGGTGACAGGAGGAATTTCAGGCCCAGATAATTCTTCAGCATCATCGTACCCATCACCTGGGGTATCATAAGGCTGACTTGAGATATCTGAGGGAGAGGTGACAGTTTTGTTTTCAACATGATTTTGCTGCAAGTGAGGGGATGTCCCTTGCGCATGTGAAAACAAATAAGTAATTTTTTTAAGATATAAAGGAGTATCAGTAGGTATTCAAAGATGTATTCAGCTAAAGAATAAGACTACCTTGGGTTAGAGTTAGTGACCTAACTTTGCATCAAGAATCACAAAGGTGGCAAAGGGGACAAATGCTCCCTTATATAGGACAATGATTTCTGTCCCCATACTGTTATTTTCCCTTCATTTTTTTTATCTTCAAAATTCTGCTTTCTTAATTTCTATTACCTCATTGTTTATTACTGGCCCCAGCTTCAAAGATGAAATCACTTGGACCAGAACCTTCAACCCTGTCATGATTCATTCATGTTGCTCTGGTGATAGTGACCCTGAGACAGAATACACAAGAGAGAGTGAGCTGATTCCCTGAATTATCCTCCAGATTCTGAAGCCTCTTTGATCAGTACTCTAACCCTGAACTCAAACCCTATGCTCCTCTCAGGGGACTAGCCACCTATCAAACCAAACCTGGCTCCTTTCCTCCCTTGCCCTGAATCATGTCTCTTGCCTCAGTCTCAACCTATATCTCCCAAGCACATGTTTAGAGTGAAACACAGAGTACCCAGTTCCCATTGACAGAGTTCTTAAAAGCCTATCCTGGGGAGGTATGGGATGTCTGGGATGAGGAGGAGCTGAGGACAGGAGAACTGTGTTGTTGCTGATGCCCTCCAGGGCAAAAAACTCCTTGGGAAACATCAGTCCTTGCCTCTAAGGCCTACCCTTTCTTATTACTTGGGGAAGGTGCAGGTTGGCTTTTCCCTTCATTTTCCCCTGTATGGTATGGAAGCTTGTCTCTCACATCATCCAGAAGGGACCCTGATGAGAAGAACCTGACAGAATCAAATAGGAAAAGGAAACTCATTCCTCCCATGCCCCAGGTTGGGTTTATCCAGACTTTTCAGAACAACGTCACAATGTGTTCTGACACCAGGGGGCACTTAAAGAGGGGTGATGAGGACAAAAAATCACTTTTTGAGATGATTAGTCAAAGTGTTCTGGTGTGACTAAGGGACCTCCCAAACATGACAGAAACTCTTATGCCACCTTCCTGGAAATCTCCACGTTTGGCTGGTAAGAACTTGATTGATAAGACATCAGTAATGTAAAACCAGCTATGTTTTAAAAATTGTAGCATGCCCTGGGTGATGTTGTCCTAACAGAAGGGTGCTGTTCTTCAATGCAAAGTTTGTTGGTGAGTGAGGGTGTCAGGGCTGTCCAGGAGAGTGGGCTCTGCTCATAAAGATCAGTACAATTTATGTGGATGGAAAAGTCCTAAAGGTATGGAAGGGGGTTTCATCCATGGTTTCATGTTATTATCTCTTTGGGACACTCAAGCCTTTTTGCTCCAATTTTGTTCTTACCAAGAAAGCTCCAGATTTAGAGGGAATGGTATAATAGGGTTAATCAATTCTATTGAGTTGGCTATCCTCTTAGAGAAATGAAATCATTGCATCTTTGGACCTGAAATTATGAGGGTTCTATCCTGAACTTGCAGGCACTATAATCAATGGGACCCAGACTGACAAAAGAACATCAGAACCAAAAGAACCCAGAACTCTGGGCATTTTCTCTCTAGAGATAAAGCTCAGAGCTCAGAATTGAGTTGTTGGACCTGCCTTCACATGTAGAGAATGGGAAATGGAAACTTAAATGTTATGGGAAGGGGGTGGGGTGGGGAAAACCATAGCAGATAGTTAGAGTCAGAGATTTCTGAAGATGCCAAGGCCATAGATTCTGGTGCTGACAAAAACATTTAGTTCATGTCCAGAGTGTCCAAAGAAGAGGGATGGGCAGAAGATACAGTTACCTGGGCCACTCAGAATGTCCTCCTTGTGCCCTGTGAGGTGGTAATCGATCTCTTGGTAGATGGCTTCATAAACAGAATCCCCACATCTAGACAAAGCTGGGACAAATGACCATGGATCAAAAATTCTTGGATTGAGACCATCACCTGACATATATTTGTCTCATGGGCCCTCCTCAATCTATTTTCTGTTCACACTCAGGCAACTCCCTAGTTCTAATATGGATGCCTCTTCTGCCCAGCCCATATGGTATGACCTTTGGAATCCCATAACTAACACAACGTCTGTGCTCACAGCTTAGCCTCTCCTGGGCCAGTGACAGTTGGAGCTATTTGGGGCTTGAAAACCAGAGCAAAACATATGGGTCATATCCAGTCCTGAAGTACTTTATTTAGCCTTGTCCATAATCCCTATCCCTATCATTTCCTCCCTTCACTCACCCACACTCTTTCCCATGTTGTTCAGTTCCCCACGGGTTGCCCACCTTTTTGCTGGATTCTCCCTCTGTGTATCTGAATCCCTAGGAGGATGAGGCCTAGGAGGAGAAGGGCCCCTAAAATGAAGCAGAGGATCCCAAGCAGAGGGTTCAAAGAGGCTTTAGGTCCTTTGGAGAAGAAGAATCATAAGGCTTTGGATTATGGAAGAAGTTATCAGACTCTCCCCAGGACACCTCACTGAGGTTAGTATGGAGAGAGAAGGGAAATCTGAGGCTCACCCTCAACCTAAAGATCCTCCAACTGGGGACCTCACCCAACTGCTCTGTAGAGGCAAGTGGGATAAGCCTGGATGCCCAAGAAAGGACAGTGAAGGGACGGTCCTTCCTTATGGGGCCTGAGTTCCAGATGTCCAAACTGGAAATTGGCAGAAGGGTGATATATTCTTTAGATTCTTTTTTTTCTTTTCTTTTCTTTTTTCTTTTTTTAGGTAATTGGGGTTAAGTGACTTGCCCAGGGTTACACAGCTAATAAGTGTGAATTATTTGGTGTGAGGTCGGATTTGAACTCAGGTTGTCCTGACTTCAGGGCCAGCGCTCTATCCACTGCACCACCTAACTGCCCCCTAGACACTGTTTTTCTTTTCCCCTTTTTTTTTTTAGTTTTTTTTTAGGCAATTGGGGTTAAGTGACTTGCCCAGGCTTACACAGCTAGTAAGTGGTAAGTGTTTGGTCTGAGGCTGGATTTGAACTCAGGTTGTCCTGACTTCAGGGTCAGTGCTCTATCCACTGTGTCACCTAGCTGCCCCTTTGTGCCACCTAGCTGCCTCTTGGGTGATATATTCTTGAAGAACATTCTGTAGACCCCTCCAAACCCCACCTCAATGCCCAACCCACAAGCTTCTCAGCAGCTTCTCAGTATTCTGTTACAGTAGATCTCCTTAGAAATGAAAGAAGGTCAACCTTGGGCCTGGGAACATTTTTGTTGTCAAATTTACCCAGAGCTTGTAGAAGGGGAGTGATGGAGTGGTAGAGCATTGTACCTTTTGAGGCCAATGGCAACTTCTCAACTGGAAGAGAAGAGGAGAAAAAAAATCTGAAGATTGGGTAGAGCTCAGGTTGGGCATGGCTTCTTCATCCTGCTCTAAACTCTCTATCATGTGAACATCTTCCCATAATGCTCCATCCAAACAGCTTAGGAAGGCTCCTAGATCTCCTACTTCTTCATCCAGCTCAAGCTCAAGAAGAAACTTAGAGATCATATGGATTAGAGTCAGACGACCTGTGCTGAAGTCAGATCCCAAATTCAGATGCCAAAATTAGAAATTTCTACAAGGGCCACATATTCTCTAAGAAAGTTCTGTAGGTTCCCCCACCCCTACCTCAACCCCTTGCTCACAAATTTCTCAGCACATTCTCTGACCTAACAGAGTTAATTCTCCAAGACATGAACGATTTTCATAGGGAGTGGTTGAGTCATATAGCCTTCCTCCTATCCCATAGTCATCTCAACTCAATGTGTCTAAAATAACACTCATTATCGCCTGTTATTTCTCCTCCTCACACACTTTCCTCCTCAGAAACTTTTATATTACTGTAGAAGACACTACCACCCTCCCAATCACTCAGACTCTCAATCTTAGTGCTATCCTTAAACACTCATTCTCACTTTCCCCACAGATCCAGTTAACTGGAAAATCCTGCCATTTCCATCTCCCCACGTTCCCTTCTCTTCACGAACACAGCCACCATTCTAGTTCAGGTCTCCATCATCTCTAGGACTATTGCAAAGACTTCTGATTGGTCTTCTCCTTGCCAATCTATGATAATTTTAGAGTAAACTTTTGCCCACATAATTTTTGTTGTTGTTAAATCATTTTTCAGTTACGTCTGACTCTCTGTGACCCCATTTGAGGTTTTGTTGGCAAAAATACTGGAGTGGTTTGCCATTTCTTTCTCCAGAGAATTTTACACGAACAAACAGGGTTGTGACTTGTCCAGGGTCACACAGCTAGTTAAGTGTCTGAGACTGGATTTGAACTTTAGGAAGATGAGTCTTCCTAATTCCAGGCCTGCACCACCTAACTATCCACATCATGCCCATGTCCAATAAAATCCTGTAGTTCCCTGCTACCTCTAGGATCCAATAGAACTTCTCTGTTCTCCACAGTTTCTCTTAACTTGGTCTCATTGTATTTATCCACGATTCTTATATATTACTCCTCTCTACACACTCTACTACTCAGCTGTACTGGCCCATTCGCTGTTCCTCACACATGATACCCCATCTCTATACTTGAATATTGACTTTTGATTTTAGCCACCATAGGAAGGGAAAACATAGGATGATAGCCAGCAGGGAGGGATGGATGGATTAAGTGAGAGGTTTTATGAAGATGGGGAAACAAGTATGTTTGTGTGTGGTAGGAGAGTAGTTAGTAGACAAGAATTGCCTTGGCAAGAGGAAGGGTCATCTCTTTATGTGAGACAAGGGTAAAAGAAGAGAAAGTGACAGAAAGTTTCTGGGTGAGATGATATGTGGAGGGAAGAACAGGGAATTCTTGATAAATGGCTTTGACTTTTTCAATGAAATAGGAGACAAGGATGAGAGGGAAGGGAAGAGGGGGTTTGAGGAGGGATGAAACAGTTTGGAAAAGGCACTATGGAGAGTGGGTTGGTGAATCAATTAGGGAGGCATAAAAGATTCACTTGCTACAATGAGGGCCCAATAGGATTAGGTAACATATTTTTATGAACCAAGTCAGCATGGTCCCATGATTTTTTCCAGTTTCATTCAGGTTTCCCTGAGTAGGAGCAAAGGCAGTATGTGGTAGACATACACCAGGACTGAGGCTTGGAAAGGCAAGTTTGGAAATAGTATAGCAAGAGACTCAATAGAAGTGGATATAATAGACATGAACTGGTTCACCAAAGAATCAAGATGGAGAAAAGAGACAGTCTAGTCAAAGTAGGAATAATGACCTTGGAAACATCTGAGGATTGGAGATCATGATGTGGATAAAGAATAGTTAGGGGGTTGCAAGACAGAGGGAGAATTGTAATTACCATCAGTTATAAACAGATAAAGGAATTTCAGAGTTCACAAATAAATAAGTGGGTGATAGCAAGATCAAAGGTATGCCCATTGTCTCTAAGTTGGATGGATGTTTTTGGAAATGAATAAGGTGAAGAACTGGGAGGCTAGGTTGTTTGAGGGAATATTTAATCTCCTGCTATGAGGGCAGGAATTGTGGAGGAGAGAAAGACTGACTCACAATTTGTTCACATCAAGTATTACTCAACTTAAATAAAAAATCTGAAGTCTTTGTCATTACCAACTTAGGTCTCTTCCACTACTTACTTGGATAGATAAAAATAAATTTGGGTCTAGATCATGTTCACAGATTGAATCCACTTGGACTAAAAAAGTAATTCCATTAAAAAGGAATCAAACGGAAGAGACAGATGTAGTTACCTTCACATGTGACAAAGGCTTCGTCGCCCTGGTGGCAAGAATTCTGGTCCCAAGATTGAGAACAATGCCAGAGGAAGGATTCTTGACCTTGGCATTTGAGTTTGTCTATCCACCGGGCATTCCAACTTTCTTGGGAGCTAGAAAATGTTTCAATATTCCCCTTGGCACCACATTCCAGGTGTCTGCAAATCACTGATACAGTATTGTAGTCCATGGAGTTGGAGCAAACACTACCCCATGTTCCATTGTAGAAAACTTCTAGCCATCCAGAACAATTATGGTCCTCACTTCCCAGCCTGAGATCCAGGGATTCTGTAAATGGAGAGGAAAGTATGGCACAATCAGAGGGGACATTTGTTCCCATATTGTCTGGGTCTCTGCCCTCTCAAAATTGTATTAGGTTCTCTGGCTCTGCTAAGGAGTCTCCACTGGATAGTACATACCCCAGTCCTTCTTTTTCCAGAATTCCTTCCTCTATATTTCTGTACAATTCTCTCTATCTTGTGTCCCCCATTAAAAAGACAGGAATGCCTTTACTGTGATTTCACTACTCAGTTTCACAGTTTCAAAATTAGTGTGTATCTGTGAACCACCAATAGAAAAGTAAATCAGCAGACATGTATACCTATTCTGAGAATAGCACTCTATTAGGAAATGAAGTATAAGAAAATATACACGCACACACACACACACACACACACACACACCCACATACACCCCTTCATAAGGGCAGAGACCCATCTATACAAATGTAGGAGATAAATAAAATCATCCTTCAGATAAGAGGTCTTGCCTTAAAACTGCACTCTAGGAAGGGCTGTGGTTGGGGCAGGAAGTCCTCCTCCCTGTCTGAATCAGCTCCTCCTCCCTCACGTCTCTAAGCCCCACCTCCTAAGTGCTCACATAAGTCCCTCACTGTTAGTAGGATGTGTATGGCCCGGACCTGAGCAGAGGACTCCTGCATCCTCTTTGTGCCTGCAGTCATGCCGACCCCCAATGGAGGGAAGGGCACTCTCCTAGGTGGGATTCATTTCCAGAGCAGCTAAGCTCATCTAGCCAGATGGGCCCTGATCCTTGTCCAAAGTGAGCAGAGACCATGGCTTTGAGGGCCACTCCACAGCCCAGTTGCCTGCACACCACATGGGCATCGCTCAAGTCCCAAGAATCATCACAGACAGTCCCCCAGGTACCATTGTAATAGACTTCAACTCTTCCAGAGCAGGGACCTCTTCCATTCAACAGACGAAGCTGTCCAATTTCTACAAGAAGAAATGCAGATTAATTGCCCATTTTCCCCAGGAATGAGAAGGGTTTCCTCATTTTGTCCGACTTTCTTTCTTACCTGAAAATAAGACAGGTACCTTTTCCTGGTCAGACTGTGAATTATTGAACATGAGGGACTGTGTCTGGTTTCCTGCAAAAAGCACATAGCTTAGATCCAGGGCTGGAAGTTTTAAGCCAGAAGAGGATAAGTAAGGTAAATATATACCTTGAGGAAAGGCACTGCATGAGAGAAGGAGAGGGTCAGCAAATTGGAAAGAAGTCAGGTTGTGAGGGAGGGACAAAGGGATTTTTCCCAGTCTAAGAGGGCATGTTTTGGCTCTATGCAGTCAAACAGAACTGCTGTCATTGACAGTTCTATAGCTCCCATAGCTCCAGCCATACCTTCATATACAAAGTTCCCTAAGAAGTCTGTAACCTTCCATAAAGAAGAGCTTCTGAGAGAAAGGTTGCAGCACTTCTAGCTGGTCATCCTTCCTCAGGTTTTGTTCCCCCTCTGCTAGCTCTTGCACCTATGGACTGTATAGGGTACCTTCCCCTACCATGTGTCTGCCACCAGCTTATGTCCAAACTCCAGAGCAGGAGTTTTTTACTTGGAGCACATGAATATGTTTTAAAATATATTGATAAAAATTGCTTAGAGAGGGGTGTGTTTATGGAAGGAAAGAGACAATTTGGAACTAAAAATTTCAAAATGAATGTTGAAATCATCTTTACATGTAATTAGGAAAAAATAAAATACTATTTTGTAAAAGAAAATAAATAAATGAAATATATTAATAACTATATTTTAGTATAATTGGTGTCTTATTTATGTAAGGAGAGCCCCACTTACAGATAGGGCCTATGTGTAGAGGCTTATACAGGGTGAGACGTCATGTGTAGAAAGAGCTGTCCCTCTCACATGTAGCATAGGGGTATCATTGTGTGGCTCGGAAGGAGGAAGAATAAACACTCTCTTCTCCCCTTCTTGTTGTAGGTCAGTCATTTCATTTGTGTTCAGTTCTTTGTGACCCAATTTAGAGTTTTCTTGGCAAAGATACTGGGGTGATTTGCCCTTTCCTTCTCCAGATCATTTTACAGATGAGGAAACTAAAGCAAATAGAGTTAAGTGACTTGCCCAGGGACATGCAGAGAGTAATTGTCTGAGGCCAAATTTGAACTCAGGTCTTCTTGACTCCTGCACCTGAACTCTAAAAGCACCACCTGGCTGCCTCCATACCTAGCTTCTCCCCCTCCACTTCTCTGAGGGAGACTTTAATTCCAATCAGGAGAGGAAGCAGGAGGTTGGAGCCAGAGGCTGCTCTACTCTCCTCAGAGAGAAGGGGTAGCAGGCTAGAATTATTTTTATCTACTCCCTTAAATATTGTTAGTGTAGAGGGGCAATGATCAGGTTCAATCTAACTTCTGATTGTCCTGACATCAATTGATGGGGGAAATCAGTTAGAAACATTACTCTTAGGAGTCCTGAGGCTACCCCAAGGGAGGCCATGGCCCAAGGAAAGTCAAGAATCCCTGCTCTAGAGGGATAGGTATCTCTCTTGGACTAGGTAGATATAAATTGAACTATTCGTATCTCTGATGAGAAAGTTTTATCAAATTCAACTTTTACTCCCTCTAACAAATATACAGAGAAGATGAAATTGTGTAATATTTGGTTCAAGGGCCTATTTGCATAAGAATCTCTTCACTAGTGGAAATTGATTTCATGAGATGAAGTTAATGAGACCTGGGGAGAAGAGAGATGCTGGTCTTCTGGCTCAGGATCTCTCTTTCTTTCTGACCAGGATCTGTCTTTTCTCCAGCTTTCACCAACTTTGACCCTCATGAAATCAATTTCCCCCAATGAGGAGATCTTTTGTAAATGGCTTTTGAGATAAAAGTGTCAATTTTCAAGGAACAAAGTCCTGGAATTTTATTCTAAGATGGCTGTAATATGGTCCCCCCAATTTCAAATAGTATCCCAGTGTCTATGACCTTCTCTAATCTATTCTGTCCTTGCAGAATCTTGCTCTGGGGAAACACCCTTCATATTTCATTAAAAAAGTTCATTAGACAATTCCTAGTCCTTCCTGTTTAAGTTTGTTCATTCATGGTCCTTCCTACCAATGTCCAGAGCCAATACATCTCTGTTCACTATTAGTACTACACATTAGTATAATTCTACACTTTCCTCTAAAGTAGTTGATGGATCACAATATATGTTTACTACCTGGGAATTCCCAAAGAAAAGTCGTGAATGAATGATGGCATATACAAAATAAACATACACAGTTGCCATGAATAATTCCTAACAACATGGTTAGGATTCTTCATACTTGCTATCAGAGAAAAGATGCCATGGCTACCCTCTGGATACTGAAAAAGGTCACCTGACTGTTGATGTGTATAGACACTTCTAGTCTTTTCCTTCCTGCATGTATCATTGCGTTCACTGGCCCATCACCTAGCGATAAGCTTTGAGTCAAAATTAGAGATTTCTCTTCACTTACCTGAGCAGACCACAGAAGCAACTTTTCCTTTGGAACATGGAGAAGTCCCCAGGATAGTCACTGAACAATTCCATAAATGAGACTCGGTTCCTGTGCAGTAAAATGTATCCCTTATGGTCGGGACACTTCCTTTGCCAAAATATACATCTTCTGGAGGCTTCATGGCAACACCACAGTTGAGCTGATGGCAGAGAACATTGGCTTCTCCCAGGTCCCAGTGGGAGTCACAGAGTTCTCCAGGTCCCAAAAACTTGGATCTCTACTCTTCCTTCACATTGGGAGCTTCCATTCATCAGACGAAAATCTGTGTACCCTGGGGAGAAACAGACAGGGCTTTAGAAAAGTGATTGTGATTTTCTAATTTCAGTATCAAGTGCAATGTGGGAGTAGCATAAAAGCATTGTGAAAGTTTTACTTGAACAAATGACTCCAACATCCATGCTGTGACTGCATTTTCCCTGTGGAAGTGGTACTGTGGGGCATAATGACAGAAGCGGTTCACTTCCATTACATTGGAATTCTTTATCCCAGATGTATCCATTTCCTCTTCCAAAGTGGGCTTTTTTCATGATAGAGACTACAGTCCCAAATTCTAATTCAGCACAGATGACTTTGGCAGTAGAAAGACTAAAATTCCAATCACAGACTGTGCTCCGTTTTCTTCCAGAATTGACTTCTACCCTCCCAATACAGGGCCCATCTCCTCCAACCAGCTGGACCAATCCTGGAGAGACAAGAAAGGACTATAGTGAGTGTCCCTGAATGACAAGCTTTCCCTGATGAGGAAAGAGACACAACCAATTATGTGAAACTCTGTTTGGCATATTCCCAAGAGAGAAGAAGCATAGGAACTTCCCTTAACTGAGCCCATGACAATTAATACTTCGAAGGCATGTTGACTGTGATTGAACCTGAAATAAAACTGAAGGTGCTTAATTCTCAATACTCTTTGAGAGAGCAGATCTGACAAATCTAGAGAAATGCAATCCTTCTACTCTTTTAGGCACATGTGAACAGCAGAGGGAGTGGATGCCTCTCACCGAGGCAGGAGAATTAGACTCACATGATATCTCACCATTAGAGAAGTAACCATCTCCTCTGCCCTAAGAACCTTATTTTAAATAGATTTTCTCTTCTTATTAATTTTCTTGGGCTTTGTTCACCTTTTTTCTTCATTTTTGTCAGATAAAGGATGCTTGGAATAGTCTATATTTCAGTTGCCTTGAGGTCTTTATAAAGGTTTTATGAGATATCCAAGATTGTTTCTGTAATTCTGCACTCCATCTTTCAAATACAGTTTCCATATTTTTCCATGGTTAATTTCTTGCTACTTCTTGGATGTCTGAGAACTAGGACCCATGTGCTAAGGAATAAGGACATTTAATGCACGCTCCTTTAACACTGTGATAGGTTATGAGGGTCCACCACCACAATAAGAAATCAGGGAGGGAAAAGAGAAAAAAGACTTGTTTGTTTGAATTATAATGGCCAGTACAATGAAGTTCAATGCACATATATAAATTTGTGAATTGTGGGGCCAGGCCAGTGCTTTCCTGGCATATCCATATCCGTATAAATGCATATCTATCTATTTATCTATCTATCTATCTATCTATCTATCTATCTATCGATCTATCTATCTGTGTGTGTGTACATATGTATGTATATATATGCATATATATACATATATATGTGTGTGTGTATATATACATATTATATATGCAGAGAGACAGACAGACAGATAGACAGACAGAGATACAGAGACAGAAAGAGAGACAGAGAGGGAAGGAGAGGGAGAGAGAAGACAGAGAGATTAAGAGAGACATAGAGTGAGAGACAGAGAGAGACAGAGATAGAGATAGAAAGACAGAGACAGAGAGACAGACAGAAAGAGAGACAGAAAGGGAGGGAGAAGGAGAGAGAATGGAGAGAAAGAGAGAGGAAAACAGGTGACATTTCTACTGACTTGGAAAGGAAGTAATCACTTCTGCAAATGAATCTTTTTTTATGATTTGATAATTCCACTGTGTACAAATCATTCTCCTCAATGTATGAGTCTGGAACAAGTCCACAATACTTTGACACTTGACTGTAGCATCTGTTACATTTGCTATAGAGCATTTTGTGCATATGATGATGAACATAACTTTTGTGGATTTGGCAATGGACTATGGTAAGGTCAGAGCAGATGTTTTGGTTGCCAGAAAACCATCTTTAGAGGACATCAGAAAAGGTTCTATTTTTTTAGAATAATCAGCAAATAATGTACTTAGAGCAGGAGCCCCAAGATAAATCTTTCTGAGCTACACTATGTGAACGTAATTGGTACAAGTTAGTTGTATTAGGGACCTTCACACAGAGGAATAGTAGCAATGTAGAGATATAAATAGCCAGAGGAAATGATTAATATCAGTGAATGAAGCGCCAACTCCAGATGATGCCTCCCAACTTCTGCAGTTGCCTCGTCACTGCTCCTCACAATTGGTATACTCTCATTCATAAAGTTTGCTTCAGAATGGAGACTCTATCTTCTTTTGTCTACCTTTATGCCTTAGTATAAAACTATACACCTGAAGAGGTAGAAGTAGAGTCAAGATGACAGAATAACAGGAATTAGCACACAGAGTTTCTCCCAAAAACCTCCTCTAGGCAGATATAAAAAATGCACTAGACCAAGTTTTGATGCAGAACATCTAAGAAAAAGTGATGATGAGGCATTTTTTTCCCACCAGCTTGGGTCAGGAGAGTGAGACAGACATCTAGAGTGAGAAATCTCCAGATACAAGTCTGGCCAGGAATTTGTAGGCCATGGAGAGCTCCAGAAAAGGGAAAGGCTATGTGCCCCAAATACTCTATTCAAGCAGATTAGAAAGGTTCCCAAATGTCCTACATATTCTCTCCCCAGTGCAATCCTGGAAAGAGAGCCGGAGGACAGAAGAGACATGGTAGTTTTGGGAGTCACAGGACCGGCGTTCAAAAATTTCCCAGCAAACCATACTTGTTAGTGTGTGTGCCCCTGTGGCAGTTATATAACCTCACTGGAGTAGAGGTTCTATTTCCTCCTCTGTAAAGACATTGGGATAATTACCTCTGATTTTACTTTGAGTTCTAAATTCTATGACTCCAGCATCAGATTACAGCCTCCCCTGGTACCAGAGGCCAGACCTATGGAAGCTCCATTTACATGCCAACTCTAGCCCCATATCCTTCATCTCAATATCTGTTCTCAGTGCTCCCATAAGCACATCTTATGTCCTTCACACTCACATGAGCATCTGACACCAGCATCCTCATCATGTTTACAGTCATTCTTCCCCCAGGGCTCTGCAGGGCAATCCCACAGAGAGGACTCTCTCCCTGTGCATTGTACATCATCTAGCCAGATGGTCCCATTTCCTGGGCCAAATGCAGCCTCTCCCAGGGAAGCCACAGCAGAGCCACAGCCCAGCTGCTGGCAAACCACATTAGCATCTTCTAGGTCCCATGAGTCATCACATACGGTCCCCCAGGAGCCACTGTGCCAGATCTCCACTCGTCCAGAGCATGGGGTCTTTCCTTCCCTGAGTCGGAGTTGGTCTGTGTCTGTAAAGGAAGCAGAATCCCTTGTTACACTCCCAGCTTTGAATTGAGGAACCTCTGAGAGTCCGAGATATAGAGATGGAGGAACTGAGATACCTGTGCAGTGAGCAAAGGTTGGGCAGTCAATTTCCTTTACACACACACACACACACACACACACACACGTCCTGTTCGGACAAAGCTGTTTTCTTGTGATCTCTGCCATTAGACTTTGAGCTCTTTGAAGCAAGGACTACTTTCTTGCATTTCTTTGTATCACTGGGGCTTAATACAGTGCCTGGTACATAGTAGTTGCTTAAAAAATGATTACTGACTTCATACAAACAAGTTATATAAAAAAGAATTGGTCACCTTTGGAGAGGCAGAGGCAAGATGGTGGGGTAAAGGCAAGGACTTTCCAAACCTCTCCCAAATATCCCTCCAAACAACATTAAAGTAATACCTCAAAATAAATTGTAGAGTGGCAAAACCAAAAAAAGCACTGGGGGAAGCAATATTTCCATAAAAGACAACCTCAAAGTTTGGAAGGTAAGTTCCATCTCAAAGGTAAGAGGGAAATGCAGCCCAGTGCATGGTAAGCCTGCAGTTGAGGCCCTATGCCCTTGCATAAGGCAGCAAGTAGTAGGCCGCATCCAGCACTATCCAGAAGCAGGCCTTGGAGGCAACTGAATTTGTGACAGTGTCTTCTGGAACTCTCAGCTCAGAGACAATAAGAGGGTTGGACAACTGGTCAGAAAGAGATTACAAGGGACCCTTTGCTGGCACTGGGTGCAGGACTCTGTTGCATTGCCCATACTCAGTTCTAGGTCATGGTCCTAGGGCAAGGAGGAGCATTTGCACATTAGAGATCCCAGCCACAGGAGATCAGGACACTAGGCAGAGTTCCAAGGTGGAAAACTGTAATTGTAGTTACTCTCAGACCAGAGTACAAGCCAGGAAAGCGGTGATGTTTCTGACAGTGTCACCTCTACCACAGGAGGAGAGACCAATTCTAACAAAGAATGAAACATCAAGAAATAGGCTGGAAAATAAGCAAACACCTATTAAAAAGAAGCAGACAGAGTGGATTATAAACTAGAATCCTACAACATGTTGTTTACACAAAACACACTTGAAGCAGAGAATAGCATGCAGAGTAAAGGTAAGAGCTGGAGCAGAATCTGTTATGTTTCAGTTAAAGTAAAAAACAAAACTGAGGTAGCAATCATGATCTTAGACAAAGCAAAAGCAAAAATAAATCTGATTAAATGAGATAAGCAAGGAAACTACATCTTGTTAAAAGGTACCATAGACAATGATATCGTATCACTACTAAATGTATGCGTACCAAATGGTATAGCATCCAAATTCTTAAAGGAAAAGTTAAATGAGTTACAGGAAGAAATAGATAATAAAACTATACTAGTGGGGGACCTCAATTTTCCCCTCTCAGAATTAGATAAATCTAACTAAGAAATAAGCAAAAAAGAATTTAAGAAGCTGAGTAAAATGTTAGAAAAGTTAGATATGACAGACTATTTTCTCAGTAGTACATGACACCTACACAAAAACTGACTATGTATTAGTGATGCAATAAAAATTACATTAAATCAAGGGACATGGAAACATAGATTGAAAATTAATTCAAAACTAAATAATCTAATTCTAAAATATGAGTGGGTCAAATACAAAATCATAGAAACAGTAAATAATTTCATTAAAGATAATAATGAGACAACATACCAAAGTTTAAGGGATACAGCCAAAAGAATACTTACGGAAAAGCTTATATCTCTAAAGGCTTATATCAACAAAATAGAGAAAGAAGAAATAAATGAAATAGACATGCAACAATAACAACAACAACGAAAAGCTAGAAAGAAAACAAATTAAAATCCAAAATTAAACCCTAAATTGGGAATCATGGAAATTAAAGAAGTGATGAATAAAATTGAAGGTAAGAAAACCATTAAACTAATAAATAAATTTAGGAGCTGGTTTTATTGTGGGAGGGACAATAAAATAGATAAAGTATTGGTTATTTCAATTTTAAAAAAGAAAGAAGAAAGCCAAATTACCAGTATCAAAATGAAAAAGTTGAATTCACCACCAATGAAGAGAAAATTAAAGTAATTATTAGGAACTCTATTGCCCAATTATGTGCCAACAAATCAGACAACCGAAGTAGAATGGATGAATATTTACAATAATATAAATTTCCCAGATTAACAGAAGAGGAAGTAGAAAACTTAAATAATCCTATTTTAGAAAAGTAAGTTGAATAAGCCATCAATAAGTTTCTTAAAAAAAAAATCCCCAGGACTAAATGGATTCACAAATGAATTCTACCAAACAACAACTAATTCCAAAGCATAAACTATTTGGAAAACCAGGCAAAAAAGAAATTCTACCAAATCCCTTTTATGACACAAATATGACACAGATACATAAACCAGGAAGAGTGAAAACAGAGAAAGAAAACTACAGATCAATTTCCCTAGTGAATATTGATGAAAAAACTTAAATAAAATACTATCAAGCAGATTACGGCAATATATCATAAAGATATTCATGTACTATGAGCACGTGGGATTTATACCAAGAATACAGGGCTGGTTCAATATTAAGAAAAAACATCAGTATAATTGATCATACAAAAAACAAAGTAAATAAAAATCATATGATTAGCTCAACAGATCCAGAAAGCTATTTTGACAAAATACAACACTCATTCCTATTAAAAACTCTGGAAAGCATAGGAATAGAGCTTTTCTTAAAATAAGTAGTATTTTTCTAAAACAACACTGAGTGTTATTTGGAATGGGGATAAGCTAGACGCCTTCCCAATGGGATCAGGAATGAAACAAGAATGCCCACTTTGAGCATGATATTATTCATCATTGCACTAGAAATACTAGCTATAGCAATAAGTGAAGAAAAAGAAATTGAAGGAATTAGAAGAGGCAATGAGGAAACAAACTGTCACTCTTTGCAGATCATATGGTGATATACTTGAAGAATCCCAGAGAATCAACTAATAAATACTACTTGAAATAATCAACAACTTCAGCAAAACTGCAGGATATAAAATAAACCCAAGTAGATCATCAGTATTTCCATATACTACCAACAAAGTCTAGCAGCAAAACATAGAAAGAGAAATTCCATTTAAAATAATTACAGCCAATATAAAACACTTGGGAGTCTACTTGCCCAGACAAACCCAAGAACTATATGAATGCAATTATAAAACACATTTCACATGAAGAAAGTCAAATTTAAACAACTGGAAGAAAATATCAATTGCCCATGGGTAGGATAAGCCAATGTAATAAAATGACAATTCTACTTAAACTAATTTACTCATTCAGTACCATACCAATCAAACTACCAAAAATATTTTTAGAGCAAGAAAAAGTGAAAAAATTCATCTGGAAGAACAAAATGTCAAGAATATAAAAGGAATTAATGTAAAAAAAAAGTGAAGGAAGGGGGCCTAGTCATACCAGATCTCAAATAGTATTACAAAGTAGTAATCATCAAAATAACCTGGTACTGCCTAATAGATAGAGTGGTAGATCAGTGAAATACATTAAGTACACAATGCACAGTACTTGGTGACCAGAGTAATCTTATGTTTCTTAAACAGTAAGATCCAGACTTTTGAAACAAGAACTCACTATTTGGAAAAAGCTGTTGAGAAAATTGAAAATCAATTTGGCAGAAACTAGGTATATACCATCACATGACACTATATAGCAATATAAGGTCGAAAGGAGCATAACATTTTTTAAAAATTATTTTACTTTTAGTTTTCAACATTCACTTCCGCAGGTTTCTCCACTTCCAAATTTTCTCCCTCTCTCTTCACTCTCCCCACCCCAAGGTGGTGTGCTTTCTCAATACCCCTTTCCCTAATCTTCCATCCCTTCTATCCCCCCCTTCTCTTATCCCTTTGCCCTTCTATTTTCCTGTAGGGCAGAATAGAATTCTATATCCTACTGCCTGTATATCTTGTTTCCTAGTTGCACGTGAAAACAATTTTTAATATTTGTTTTGAAAACTTTGGGTTCCAAATTTTCTCCTTTCCTCCCTTCCCACCCACTCTCATTGGAAGAAAGCAACTCAACAGAGGTTATACACATGTAATCATGCAAAACACTTCCATAGTAGTCATGTTGTGGAAAACTGACTATATTTCTCTTCATTCTATCCCAATCCCCATTTGTTCTATTCTCTCTTTTGACCCTGTCCCTCCTCAGAAGTGTTTGCTTCTGATTACTCCCTCCCCCAATCTGCCCTCCCCTTCATCATTCCCCAGCTCTCTTATCCCCTTCCTTCCTATTTTCTCATAGGGTAAGAGATTTCCATAAAAGGGACATGTTATTTAGACATAAAGGGTGATACCATTAGGTGAGCATGGAATAGTTTACCTGTCAGATCTGTGAAGAATTCATAATGGATAAATTTGATTATATTAAATATTAAAAGTTTTTGCACAAACAAAACCAATGCAGCCAAGATTAGAAGGAAGACAAAAAACAGGAAAAAATTTTATAGCAAAATTCTTTGATAAAGTTTCTCAAACATGTCTCTACTGAGTCAAATGTATAAATGGCCAAAGGATATGAAAAGGCAGTTTTCAGATGAAGAAATCAAAACTAACTATAGTCATATGAAGAAGTGCTCTAAATCACTATTGATCAGAGAAATACAAATTAAAACAACTCTGAGGTACTACCTCACACCTATCAGATTGGTTAATATGACAGAAAAGGAAAATGATAAATGTTAGAGGGTATGTGAAAAATTTGGAACACTAATGCACTGTTGGTGGAGCTGTGCACTGATCCAACCATTTTGTTTTTGTTTTTGTTTTTGTTTTTTGTTAGTGAGGCAAATGGGGTCAAGTAACTTTCCCAGAGTCACACAGCTAGTGAGTTTTTTTTTTAATGTGTCTGAGGCCAGTTTTGAACTCAGGTCCTCC